TGCTGTACAGTGTTTTTCCAGCTTTTTCGGTTCCTGTTTGATTGCTCGGTTTATCGGTTAGTACGCTTGGACAACTTAACAAAAGTCTCAAATCACAAATCAGTTCTGAATTAAGCGAGAATGACATTGTATGATCTACGGGGCCGATCCAACCAATCATTTTCGACATCTGAGGATTGCAATATGAGCTTATTCTACACTGTAGAGAGAAGATGGGTAGACTGATAACCAAGAGAATAAAAAGAACTAAGTGGTTTTTGTCCTAGACCGCAGGTGTCGTGACAGAATACCCACAGATTATCACCTTGAAAGATAGACAATTTCATTTTTACACCTGTTTGGCACAAGTCCCTTATTTTTTGCTCACACCACCCATTTCATGTTCCCATTTTAAAACACTGTTTTTGTCTGGTGGTTTGGTATATGTAATTCTTAACCTACACGTTTTAAGGTAAGGTTATCTCTCGTGTGTGTAATCATTATGTACTGAGCATGGAACAGCTCAAACGGATTTGTTAAATGTTTCGACGTTGTTCTCATAGTTGGACAAAGAAAACTTTAGTTTTGTTGTTGGGTACCAACCAGAACATGGTGGGTGGATAATGCTGCAAGCAGTTTCAGATACCAAACCGGTTTGGGGAACTAACCGTTACCATTTATTTTTCCCTGTTTGATATTAATGTATGCTGTACTTGCAACTAATGATAGTATAGATCTTTTAACTGATAGATGAATAACAATAGAAAAGGTTTGTATCAGTTTCACACACAATCCACAAAGGCGTTAACCTTGAAATGATGCATGCAGTGGTTTTTAGTTACTGTTCTTCAGTTACGGGTTTCATTCCGGCCAAAGAAAAACCGGGAATCAGAGTATCACTGTAATAATAAACATTGCGGGTCCTTTTAGACATGCATCAGTTTCTATATAGCCACCAATATTCGATAAACCACTATAGGTTCGATTGCAGTTCGAGCACTCCTTGAATTCATGAGTCCGTGTTAGAGTTTTGATGGGACCAACCGAGGCTCGTTTGCGATATTTTTCTTTGACTCATTCTATTCATCTCTCTCCTTTATCTAAATGGGCAGCCAGAAGACATTAACCAAAACCGATGCACGAAAATGCAAGATAATGGTTTTAAAAAACTAAATTGAACTGGTAAGCGATTGTGAGGCCTCCACGTAGGAGTAGTCAAAACCTACCATAAGTGAAAGCAGATAGAATCTCTTGATCTTAAAGGTACATTTTACATACGATCCGCATTGTCAAAAAGATGGACGATATCATCATAGTACAAGAGACCGCAAAACATTTCTGATTGATCTGAATTTCCACAACAACGCCTTTGATTAAGTACATCAGGTTGTTTTCTTATTCGACATGTACCGTTGAGCTGAAACGCACCACCTATTTCCAACTAGATTATTGAGTAATCTCGTGCATACAATGTATTTAGCGGGTGAGCTCAACTCTTTGACATTTCTTGGCCAGGTAGGTAAAAGAAAATAGCCTCGTTATGTTAACAGCAAATTATCCACTGAATGTCAAGATAGATTATGATTATCACTCCGCATGATACATGATATCACTTGAGAGAGGGATACAAAGCAGAGTCAATCTGCTGCTATATCGCACCCCTGAGAAGTCGCATTTTCCAATATCTTACCATTTTTTCGAAAAACCAAACCAACCGTATGCGTTATAACGTAGTTTCTGACCATGCAATGTCTCCCACCTTAGTATGTCACTGTTCCTGATACCTACCCACTTGGTCGTTGACCGACGTTCGGGACGGGTATTGACCAGCCAACCAGCCAATGGCGTTTCACCTAGTGTGACACGAACATGACACTGTTCACTGATTGGATAATCTTTGCGAGGAAGACACACCGATGCTAACAAGCGAAGACTGTCACTGGACTTCAAAATGTGCGATCGCCTATCGATCAGAACGTGTTGGAAATACTGAGTCAGCCAAGTGCAACTCAGAGCTCCCAAGCCGAATCACTTGGTATTTCAAGAAAAACTTTATATAGCTATATTCCATCAAACCACTAGGGGATAATTTGTGAACACTGGAGCATATCAGGAAAGAGGCCACCTGAAAACCAACGAAAATTCCAAGACAGTGAATGAGGCAACCTTAGCTTGGATTACTACTATGAGTGAAAAGCACGGCGAGTTCCCCATAATGGAGAACAATACTTGTAAGAAGACAATTCAGTTAGCATAAAGAATACATCATCGTGACTTCAAGGCTTCCAAGGGTTTGTTTTGCTCTTGGTCAGACAGACGTGTTATTCAATCCCACAAAGTAAGAGAGAGGCAACTACTCATTTGTATTACTTCAAAGATTTGACGTGAAAGTTTGGCGGTACCACCTGAAGCAGGTGATGAGTTTCGAGTAGGGATACCGCAGTTGATCCATGGATACGCTGACTGTGATATTTTCATTACAGATGACAAAGCCTTGTGTTACATGCAGCTCCCAGAGAGAACATTAACTCCCAAAAGAAAAACAGTTTCTGGATCCAAGAAATCCAAAGGAAGGGTCATGTTACTTCTTTGTGTGAGCATAATTGGAGGAAGGTTACCTCCTTGATATCTGCGATTTATGATTGCTAAAAATATATCTTTCCTATCTGCAAAGGTTTTTTCCACAATTTTGTGAGGCACTCGAATGTGGTCTTTCTTGTTGTAGTGGTCGCCTAAACCACGACCATTCGGTCCATCGATGTGCTCGGTCACACTTTGTAAACGAATGAACAATAATGGCGATTGACTGGCGAGCGGGTGCGTGGAGTAAGATGTTCAAACCTAGAGATTGATGAGTGCTTTCGCGCGGACGCTCCTGTCTAAATGAATGAACGACAATCGCACTTGTCCTTGCTAGAGTTCCAATGAAATTGGCCAATGGTCATCATAGCCCGGGTCTCACGCGCCCTAACTGTTTGAGCGATGCACATTAAATTTTCGAATCACGTGTTGAACTTAGTCTGTCACTCATGTTTACCGACGCTGGCCATAAAGAATATATCAACCGGTTTGAACATACACTAGTAACAAAAACAGCGAACGAACGAGTAGATGTCTACAGGGTTAGTGCTACACATTTTTCACCAGAAATTCATGAATAGATTGCACACTGAACAGTCAGTTTGGAGAATGCGAAATAAGTCAATGTACTGAGTATACACCGAGCAGATATTTCACTAATTTTAAATACCGTGATGTACTTGGAACGCGATTTTTTTGTCCCGTGTTCAACATGGGTCATTCTTGTTTTCACCGAATGATTTAATATCGATATTGTGGTTATAATAATTAAAACAGTCATATATTATGGTGGACTCCATATACTCCATATACTCGGTTAGCCTATCATTGCAAAGGAATGGAGAGCTATCTGGAATTAATGTGTGATAATTGGGTTAGAAAAAGTTCCACTGAAGAATAGTAGGTAGTTTCCGTATAAATATGCACGTAAAACTGAAAAAGGGCGCAATACCGAATGCACGTACTAATATTATGCTTAGAGCATCGTACAAAAAATCAATCTCTTGGATATATAAAGGATACTCAGGACGGTTATAGTCAAGGATATCAGCTTTTCGTCCGCCCATTTTGATGGGAAAACACCTCCACCACCAGAAGGCAGTGAGTAGGACTCCCTCAGCAGAGGTTATTTGTCTGCGTCCAGCTTAAGCGATTTGGATGAAAGCTAAACATCAAACACATCTGATTTTATTGTGTGTGGACGGTGCATATGCTCGTAGACTGTTTGGTTATTTAATAAATAAATGCAGCAACATCATATTATTGCGTTACGTAGGTAATGGAAGATCACGGGTAAAGTTTGCTTAAATACTGAGTTAGCACCAAATGTATTCACATGCTGTTGTTTGACAGGGTGTTTGGAAATCTCGACAGACTTGA